AGATACAGTATAAATCTTAGAACAAAGAATGTAACTATATATCTATCCTAACCATTTTGAATACACAGATACAAAATGGATATTCATCTGTATCCCCTTTTTTGTTTAGTTCTGTCATTTGAATATTATAGGTGTGTTAACTCAGCAAAATGTTCCAAAAGAGTCCAGTAATCCCTAATAGTATTGGGTCTTCCACTTGACTGGCAGTGTCAGAAATTGTTGACCTGAGTCCCCTACAGCTCAACATAACAACATCAGCCCTCCCTTTTAAATCTTTTTTTCATTTATGTATGTGGTACAGGGTCTCACTCTCAGACTCGTAGTGATCCTCCTGTTTTCAGCCTCCCCAGCCCTGGGATTATAGGCATGTGCCACCACTCCTGCCCCTACTCGGTCGCTGGCACAGAATGCCCCAGAGGTGCCAGGCCAGGGATTGAACCCTGATCCGTGCTCTTGCCAAAGCAGGTGTTTAGTCTGCTGAGCTATCTCACCACTGCCCCCCCCATTTTAAATTTTGAGACAGTGTCTGAGTAAATTGTTGACTTGCCCAGAGTGGGCTTGAACTTGTGCTCTTCCTCCCAGGTTACCTCTCATAGTGGGCGAAAGGGCACAGAGATGACAGTGGGACAATATCTGATCCTGTCACAGGTACATTCTGCATGGACTGAAAATACCACAAAGTCCAATCCCCATTTTACCCTTGACAATACCAGGACCCTGTTCATGGCTTTTTGTTTCATTCTGCTTCGCAGGTCCCCTGGACCTCCAGATCTGCGCTCCCACTCCCTCCTCGTGCTGTGAGGCCAGGCCCCCTCCAGAGGCCTTTGCTGGTGCTGCCTCTAACTTAAGAAGACCCTCCCCTCCTCCACTTGGCTCCAGCTCCAGCTCTGTCTCCTTTTGCTCAGCACTGTTTTGTGGCTCAGTGTGCCTGGATTGGGGACACAGCAGGCACTTGGTGGGCATGGGAGAAGGGTGCAGGGACAGCCGGGTCCCAGGGTCTTGGCTGCAGCCAGGGAACAGTGCTGGGCTGAGAGCTGAGGGGCCCCCAGGGGGCAACTGGGCTGGTGGGGAGATGCAGGAGGGACTCAGGTGTACCCCCACTCCGAGATCAGCGCAATCAGGATCCAGCCAGGGCTGCAGGGGAACACACACACGAAGGCTGTGTGTTCATCTGCCTGGTGACCAGACCTCAGGGCCCCGAATCCTGGATGAAGGGGCTCAGGCACTGTGACCAGCAGGGCCTGAGTGTCGGGCGGAAAGGAGACCTGGCAGAGGCAGGTCCTGCCCACCTGTCAGGCTCTGGGTTTTGTTTCAAGCTGTCACTTGCCCACTACCATACTGTCCTGGCTCCACAGCTTGGGAACCTTTCACTCAGACAGGTTTATCAGCCAAAAGAAAACAGTTTCCTTGTTGGGTAAGAGGGGGCATGGTCTCCAGACTGACTCCCAAGAGGGACCTGGCCCCTTCCGGTGTGTCTGGACAGGGGAACACACTGGGGTGTGTGGCCCCTGTGATGGGAAAGGCTGGGCAGGGAATTGGGGACCCTCAGCTAGGGTCCCTGCCATCGTGCTGCCAACAAGTACGGATGTTCTATGCCCGCGGGGCCCTGGGACAGACTGTGGCACATCTGGGGCATCCAGCACAGGTGGCGGGAGAGGAACACCTGGCAGGTAGCAGCCCCTGAGACCTGGGCTGTCAGGTCCCCTATGGAAGTGGGGCTGGGCAGATCCCCTCCCCCCTAACCTCTGTGAGGGAAGGTCCCAGAGCCTAGGGAGAAGATGGGCTGGCCTCACTCTGCT